ACCATCAAAGGGAGCCAGTGAAAGGGAAGAGGGAACAGGACCCGGGGTTCACATGAAGGGTTGGCCTCATTTCTCCTGACCCCAGGGTCACTTAGTATTTACCTCCGCAGACAGTCAGCTTCTGCAGCGCTTTCTAGACCTTCTAGACCATGGTTCTCCATTTGTAAATTGAGAGGGTGGGACCAGATGGTCCCTAAGAGACACCCTCCTAGGTGCATCAGAATCACCTGGGGAGATCGATGCTTGCTCCTCTGGCCGCCGTCTCTGATTTACTTGGCTGGGTGAGCTCCAGACTCAGTATAAGATCCTAGAGCCCTGGTGGCACAGTGGCTAAAGTGAGCAACTGCTAACCAAAAGGTCAGTGGTTGGAAACTGCCAGCAGCTCCGAAGGAGAAAGATGTGGCAGTCTCCTTGCGTAGAGATTTACAGCCTCGGGAACCCTATGGGGTGGCTATGAGTAAGAATTGACCCGACAGCAGTGGGTTTGGTTTTTGGATTTTGGCAATGGCAATGCCCAGCCAGGGTTGAGACCCCTGTACTAGCAGAAAGAGCTTTGGGACTTGACTGATCTGGTGTTAGAGCCCCAGTTCTATGTTGTGAGATCCCAAGACACTCACCTAAGGGCTCTGGGCCTCAATTTTACAGATCTGTAAAATGGGGATAACGATATTGACTTCATAGAATTGAAACAGTTAAACTAGATGCGTAGATAAAGTGGTAGTCCATGGCAGGCATTCAGAGTGTAGGCTCCCCTCTCCGGCCTTCCTTCTGACATTCTGCTAGACTGTGTTGTGAATTTTTTCTTTTTTTAAGGAAGGAAATTCACTGTTCATTGGTTTAAGAGATCAAGGGAACCAACTTCTTTTGCACTCTGTTCTCAGTTACCGATTCACTGCATGATTTAAATAGTTATGTTTGCCTTCATCTTCTCACTCCTATAATAGGAGTTGTAATGCTCTAATGTATGTAAAATATTTAGAAATGGACTAAAGAAAGTTATTTTAAGAAGTCCTAGAAGGAGTT